TCACACATGTAGTGTTATAAAAACAAGGTCATATATAGTTATTACATCAACCACTGGAGACAGCAGGTACATGCACACAAAACAAGAAAACGAGAGAACCAATCAACTTCCAACTATACTACATTACAAATACTACAAATTCACACAATATAAGAATTAATCACATTAATATCATAACATGTAAATTATGTATTTTCACACGTTCTCTCTCCCTCTCTCTACCTTACCTTTAGAACTGCCTTTAGTGCTAATAATATTCTCAACATTTCTTAATCGAACAGAACCTTGGGGGCGAGGTATACCCTAATATTAAAAAATAAATAAATAAATAATAATAATAATAATAATATGCGGCTCACACTCAGGGGTCCTGCTGCAATGTTAGTTCTTCTCGATGCTTTAGTGGCTGAAGTGGGCGGAGTCATAAGATTAGCAAACTGAGGGTTGAGTTGAATCAACGAGTCAAGATCAATCTGAAAATAGAGCGAGAAAAGAGTTAAAAATTACAATTATGTTAAATATTAAAATAGACACTATTTGCAGTTATGCATGTGTCGAATGCTTCCCAATTTGAAATAATTTCGAATCCTTTGATCTAATAAAATACATGTACATGTATACACAAATTTTAATATGGGATGCATACCATAATTGTTTAATTTTTAAATATACTGGCAATTTTTCAATCCACAATATGAATTCCTTGCCAAAACCATGTATATACATGTATTTTTATTTGTACATGTATCTATATGTACCTCTTTTCCTTTAGTTTCTCCACTTTCATACCACTCCACAGACACGAGGCCTTTCAAAGAGTCTATCCCAGTCACTGATGCATCATGGACTAAACCTAAAAGGAGAAAATTTCCAATCCACTTCAATATAAGGACTTACCACTACTCCTCTTAATCTTGACTGTGATTCCAACGCTCATGGCTCTCCTGTGTCTATCCATTATGCCTGGCTGTCTTCTCCTGGCTCTCTGGCTACTATTTTTGGTCCTGTTCTTATCTCACTTTTCCTTCTCCTCCTCCTACCAGAAAATCTTCACCTCCTCTTTGAATTAAACCGCGGAAATTAATCTTAACGACTCCGTTCACGTCCGTCCAATCAACTCCGTAAACTTTCTTCGAAATTCCCGGGGACTTTTTCGAGGCAGTGTCCACTGCGCATGCTCACAATACATGTAAATACATGTACACAAAACGCCATGTCTGCAACCGGAGATAAGGTATTGTTTTTCTTTCTTTTAAGTATTTTAAAAGCTTCTTTTCTTTCCTTTTCGCCTGTTTTTAATTCTCTTAGCGTCAGAGCGAGTCAAGAACCAGCCCGTTGGAGGATTCCCCGACCACACCCTCTAGTGGGCTGGGTTTTGCTTTTAGACCTTCTCCTCTATCACTGGCGGCATCTAATTTAAGTAAGTCCATAACGTCTACCTTCCTTCTATCCCATATTCTTGTAGCTACGTACAATCGCTCAAACACGGTCGGAAAAACCAAGACTGGAGAGTCACTGGTAAGCCACCCCCATTAATCCCGACCTACATGTACATGTTTTTAGTTGTCTCTTGGGTTTTCAAAGCCACAGTTGGGTTCTCCACATAGTCCTAAGCCTCTCGGTATCAATGGGATTAGTCCTCCGACTGGGGCTGGGTTCAAACGCAAGCTGGACTCATCTTCTAGCTCTGAATCGATGGTCACGCCCACGAAAAAGAGCAACCTATTCATGCAATGTATAGAAGAAAAGTAAGAGAGAGAAGGAATAATGGAACGTATGTGTGTGTACATCTGTACCTTATGTCCACTTTAAAACATACATACAATGTACAGTTAAACCTGCTATTGTGGACACTCTAAAATAAGGACACCTCTATAATGAGGAGGGGTAGTATCAGTCCCAATACAATAGTAATGTGTATTAATGAACCTCTGAAATAAGGACAGGTTCATAATCAGGAGCTAGGGTATTATTGGGTCCCAAGGTGTCCGGAATAGACAGGTTTGACTGTACATGCCTTGTACAGTGTATGGCCAAATCTCCAAGGCATCAAAAACATGAAATTAATGGGGATCCT